TTGAGAGAGGCCGTAGCTGCTCTCAGAAGGGGAACAGTTGACGGACTGTTTATTGTTTTTATTGTTTTTCTTTTCATTTTTTCGAGCTGCGCCCTTGGCTCGAAGCCTGGATGCGTCAGCGGAAAATGTTTTATGACAGAAAAATCAATAAGTGTGTGACATGTGTTTATGCGGACTTGAGGATGGTGTTGAGGCATCTCTCGAGGCGGCGGGAACACATTTAGAGCTGGGGAACCGTAGACTTCCAGCTCTGTCACAGAGGGGAGAAGGAGGGGCTGTCACGCTGCTCGCTTCTTCTTCCTCGACTGCTGGCCGAAATTCTGGGTTGGCTGTGCCTGGGCTGCAGCTGGAACCGGAGATTTTCTAGGCCAGCTCGCCCTCGTCCCCTGCCTGGGCTGGGGACTCGGGGCGGACTGCGACCTCTGCGTTTTCGGTATTTTGAACCAAGCAGGGTTCGGGGCAGCTTGGACGAAGGGCTGCCGCTGCGAAGGCAGCGGCTGGGCCCTTCGAGGGAGACAGAGGTGGAGGGCCTCGTCCTCCTTCTTTTTCGACTCGCATCTCCTCTGCATGGAGGCAAGAGCGGAGCCGAAAATCCCCTCGGGAACGATGGGCATGTCAAGCACATCCTCCTTTTCCCGGTCTGGGAGGTTGAGCCATCTAGCTCTTTCCTGCACCACCATGATCCCCATTGTTTTGCCCGTGGCCTGGACGGCGCAGCGTTGGACACGGAGACAAATGTCTGTGACCGCGGCCAACTCATCCAGAACGGCCGGTCCAGGATTACTCAACATATCCTCACAGAGCTCCGCTTGGTATGCGGTTAGCAGTGAGGAAACGTTCAGAGCCCTGGCGGACAACGCTGCGGCTCTGTAGGACCGTTCAGTCATGGTCGACTGGAAACGGTCCACCTTCGCTGGCAGCGTGGGGTTCCTGCTTGGTGACGGGCCCATCCTTGGTAGGAGGTGGGCTGCCACCAGCAGTTCCATCGGCGGTATGCGGAGCAGGCCGAGCCTCTGCGGGCGAGACCATGGTGAGGTCTCGCTGGGAGCTCCTGCCTGGTGAGGCGTGGGGCTCCGTTCCCGCGTCTCTTGCCGCCACCGGGTCCCGGCCTGACACGGCGTGGGATCCCGGTTCCGCAGCTGCCGCTGTTAGTGAGCCCCAGACCGACACAGTGAGGGGCTCAGTCTCTGCGGCGGACGCCCCCGTGTCTTGATTGCCAAACGGCGAATCAGTGGACATTAGAGATGTTAAGATTCACCGATTCGCATCGGTGCACCGGCATAAACGTTCAAGATGCGAGTGCACCGGTTGAAAGAGTGCACATCGGCTACAGTTTGGGTTGAACCGGGTTGAACTCGCGATGCATCGATTGCGTAGCGTCTTTGCATCGGTAAAAAACCGATTCATCATATAAAATCCCCTCATCTTGTCAACGCTCAGCAGAGACGATCTTTGATATTTGCTTCGCCACTACGGAGGCCGAGAGTCTCAGTTATCAACACACACGGAAGTTGAGGGGAAAGAGAAACACAGCGCACCGAAAAATACCTACAAATCAAACGTTTGGCAACACTTCGGATTGTTCAAGAAAGACGGTGTAATAGTCCTTTATGCTATATAGTTGACCGCAGGTCATGGAGAGTAATAAGGTATCCGTAGACCTTTGTATGAGGTATCTTTATTACTTAACAGGTCTACAGCCATGATACATAGATCCGTCCTAGATGCGGGCTTGCATACATACAGTATCACTCCGCAGCCGCACCCCATCAGTAACGTCCTGATGGTATATGTGCGCGGCACAGACGGTCAACTTGAAAAATCGCTCGCAAATTGTTAACGATGCCGAGCCGATTTAAAGTACACAAGTAGTACGAGGAACTTAGCGACGTACATAAAGAGTCGACATGGGGTCTGCGGCTGAAAAGAGAAACCTGAAAGTTAGACATATGAGTTAAATCACTCAGTGAGGTGTTCTGTCAGAGAGAGTGGTGTTTAGTTTACAGCAGCCTGTGACGGCCAATAATAATTTAAATGTATTCCTCACTGTAAGCAGTTATGAAATACCTGTTTGTGAAAGGTTATTTTCTTTATTGTTCATATAGAACCCACCGCTTTCTGCTCACTGGTGAGTTAGCCTATGAATGAGTGTTAAGCACATCAGGCTGGCAGCTGTATGGGCGTTGCACTATAGTAGCTGTTATTTTCACATTGTTAATCATGAGCAATGCATCCTTACATTGTTGGATGTGGACTGTGAGGTGTTATAGAATTGTACTATACTCTGGAGAGCTTATAAAGGCAACAAAATAAACGGCATGATGGGATGTGCAGTACCAAATATGTAAAGCACTTTTTTGTTAATGTATGATTTGCTGCATATAAGGAATAAAACAAAAATCCTCTCGTACCATATTGAAGTATCATTATTTTTGCATCGTGTTGAATCGCATCGTATCGCACCAAATCGCATAATGTTGAATCAAATCGTATCGAACTGTATTGCAACAGGGGTGAATCGTATCGTATCGCATCTTCTAGTGTTTCAAATATATCGTTAATGTATCGTATCGTGGCAACGTATCGAGATGCGCATCGCATCGGCCTCAGTGATGGAGATGCACATCCCTAGTGGACATGAGGGGGTCCTGTTCCAACAAGCTAGCTTGGTGTGCTAGCCGTCGGTGGAGGCTCTTTCGGCTGAAACGGGCACAATGCCCGCACGAGCCGGGGTTGTCGATAGCCTCCTGGGCGTGTTCCAGCCCGAGGCAGGACGAGCAGACCTGGTGTGAGTCTGTGCCTGCTATCTTCAACCCGCAGCCGCATGACCGAGCCTCCGAGTCCCTGACTCCTCTGGTGTGAGGGGAAGAGGCGTCCATCTTGTTCGCCTCGTGGCATGGAGAGGACCCGCTCGTAACAGGTACGTCGTTGAGAGAAAAAGTGTTACCAACCCGTCCTTAATCCGGAGAAAAAGGGACAGTGTGGGTCCTTTGTTCTCAAAGAATATTGACTGGTGTGTCAATATACTTCTAATCATTTTCTCCTCCGTGAGAGAGAAAAAGAAAAGCGTCCTCGCTACCGTGGTGTCGGTAGTAAGGGGAAGCTAGCTAGCAACAGGTGCGTAGCTAGCTTGAAAAAAATCAAAACCTTACCTTACTTTCCGGGGAAAGAAACGGCGAGGTCGATTTTAATACTAACTGGCGTTAGTATTACCGTCTTCTTGCGAAGCAGAAGGAGTAGCCGGCGAGCGCCCGTCGACCGAAATGGTTATATTTGGGTTCAGTCTGTGGACCGTTAAGCTTGTCCGGCTACTATAGAGATGTGCTCTGAAGCGAGAAGAGGTGTTTGAATGACGCATGCATCGTGGCGCAAGCTACTAATAGGGGGTGAATTCCCTGACGCTGACGTCAAGATCACCAGCCAATCAGGATTGGCGTAATGAGATTGATGCTTCTGTTTGCTCCGCGATGAGGCGCATCCCATAGTGAGACATCGAACGGAGTGTTATGAATGAGAACATGTATTTAAATGATAAAGCTTTGTCAGCACTATGGAGGCAGATTCACTGTTAAAAAATAAAAAGCGAGGTATGCACATCTTCCGGCGCAAACTGAAAACTCATCTCTTTCGACTCCACTTCGAGCGTTAGAACTATTAACGAAGCACTTTTATACTAATAAAGGACTGGCTTACCTAAAGCCAGTTGAGTAGCACTTGAAATGTTTGGCTCTATGAAACCTGATGTACTTATATGATTATGTTTTCTTCAAGGTTGTGTCTTCCTGGTCGAATGTACTTATTGTAAGTCGCTTTGGATAAAAGCGTCAGCTAAATGCAATGTAATGTAATGTAATGTATGTGCATTTTTCAGTAAAGGTGAAAGCCTATATAAATTCAAGATCATTTTCCTGCTAATTTAACGTTTTTAAGATGTAGCTGTGCAATCATAATCTGTGTAATCAAGCGTTTTTCCATATACAGTATATCCTCAGTCTGATGTCACATTGCAATGAATAAATGTGATCTACCTTTAAAAATAAATATGTACAATTGTTTTGATAGCACACTGAATGCGTTTTTTTAATGATTATTGTCATTTGCAGGTTTCTGTTATATATTTGAAACATCATTTCGTTGTTGATTATGAATTATCATGAGAAATAAACAGCAGAAGTATTCAAATTATATACACTACATTTTCAGCTGTGACTAACGCTCCTTTTTTTACTAGGCCCAGATTAGGAAATGAAAACCATAATACAGTGAGCATGCAGCTCATTGCTCTGTGCCAATATTAAAATATTGCGGCATCACATCTCACTAGATGGTCTTCGAAGGATGCTGCTATTTTCAGCTGTTCTGGAGTCAGCTTTACCTTTGTGCACATATGTTGAATATGAAGGGAGAGAGGGTGAAACTGAACCTGGATCTGTGGCTTCTGCTACACCAGAAAAGATCTCGCGTGGTTTACATCCCACCTACACCACTACTGCCAAAGAGGAGAAAGCAGAAAGAAGTCTCACTCTGTCATTGTTTTCTTGTTAGAGAATTCCAGCATTTAACAAACTGATAAAAATGTGTGTTTTACGATCACATGCTATGAATAACAGACCTATGAAAGCAGTACAGATTATAGACCCTTGATGAGTTAATAACATCATATTTAAATCAATAAAATCATTTAAAAATCAATATTTGGTGTCAAATGGTTGGTTTCTTTAAGTAGCTGTGTAATACGCAGTAGGTTTAAGACTTGGTTTAAGACTAAAAACTGTTTTATTTGCACATTTCTGATTCTGATCTAAGACGAAACATAGCAAGCATGCATGCTGCAAACATCAAAATGGTTTGAGTAAAAAAAAAAAAAAATCAATATAGCAATATGGTTAACGCCCACCTTTGGAATTTCACTTTCCAATTATTATTTTTAAACACAGTGTGACTCATCATCTTAATAGATGATCTTCGTTACTACAGCTCCCCCCACCCCCTCTCCTCCCTCCCACTCCCTGCTCCTCTCTCTGAGCTCGAGCCTCTCTTCCCCTCTCTGCTTCACGAGTTCTCCTCCCGAAACCTGCGCGAGACGGCAACTGAAGCGCGAGGCTATTCCCCCCTCTCTCCCCAGTCAACATGTCTACAGTTCCACTCTCGACCAGATTCACTGACGAATATCAGCTGTTTGAGGAACTCGGAAAGTAAGCGACCGCCACCGCCGCTGCTCTTGTTGCATTCAGTGTGTGTGTGTGTGTGTGTGTGTGTGTGTGTGTGTGTGGGTGTGTGTGTGTGTGTGTGTGTGTGTGTGTGTGTCTCTCTCTCTCTCTCTCCGTGTGTGTGTGTGTGTGTGTGTGTGTGTGTGTGCGCACGTTTTTCTCCTCTGCTGCTGCTGCCATTGTGCGCGTTTACTTCAGTGTTGACAAGGCAGGAGAGGGCTGTCAAAAAAACAGGGAAGCGTAGGAGAGCAACATTAAGCTGTAGGCAGGTTCATGTTAGCGCTTCAAAGGCTTGTATTTAATCCTCAATGTGCATTTAAAGGTGTATTGCACCATTGTGGCTCTCTGTGTAACCCGAAAGGTGTGAAACATCCGCGTTTAGGACCAACTTGTTTGTCAATTAACTGCATGTCGAAAAATCGCTTTGCACGCAGCCGTAGCCTGGTGGCGTCCTCGTTGCTCCTGTTCAATCATTCAGCTGTTTTTGTGCATTTCTAAGCAGACTGCAGGGTTACTGTAGTGTCAAAAAAAAATAAGAAAACAAGGCTCTGCTGCATACAAGACAACAAATCTTGGTTTTGCGCATCGCACATGTACTGCGTCCCGGATTAGGACACATAGGTTACATTACTGCCTCTTTGTAACATCTAATCTCTGTGTGTGGTTTATAGAGCAGCTCCACCTTCCCACACAGCATGAGTTTAAAGGAGGCGTCTGTGCAAAAAAAAATGGACAAGAAGATACAGTTGAATCGTTCAGTGTATTCTCCTTTACTCACGTCTGCCTGTGAGCTAATAACTGTGTCCTTTCACCATGAATAAAGCCCCCCCTCTCCTCTGCCAAGCACTAGTAGCTAGGACCTCTTCTCAGATCTCATACACAGAATATCAGACTGATTTAATTATGCATGTGGCTTCCTTTCCCCTCTCTTTAGGTGTATGCGATTGAAGCATGCCCTTAGTGTGTGTCAGGTTCATGCACTTTCCCCTGAGACACACAGATTTGTGTTATGTTTTTAAGTGGTTTCACTGATCTGTCATCTTTTTTCTTCTGCTCCAGGGGTGCCTTTTCTATCGTCCGCCGATGCAGCAAGAAGTCCACCGGCCAGGAGTATGCTGCTAAAATTATCAACACGAAAAAGCTGTCCGCCAGAGGTTAGTACAGTGGATATTCACTCAGTGTGGCTCGGCAGATCACTCAAGGAGTCACATGAATGTATGCACACTGAAAGCTGCTGTCCACTCTGCTGTAGCTGCTCAGATGTCAGTTCAGCTGCAGGTTTGCTACTTTATTTCCTGAAAAGCTGCAAACCAGGCGCTCTTTCCTCCTTCTGTCAGCAGCGATTCCTCAAAAGCCACTTGGCAGAGCTGCTGTGGTTAAAGTTGCAAAGCTTCAGAGGCTTTACCAGCTGTCTGCAACATGTGTTGCTTTGTTATGGTTATCAGTGGTCACCAGCTTGACCTTTAGCCTAACATATTCTCCACTCACACAGCAGCACGTAGGATAAGATAAAGGTGCATTCACATGCTCCTCTGATAATGTGGAAACAACGCTACAAATAAGATGAGTTGGGCTATATGGGGTGACATAGCATGCACCGATAGAGAAATGTCAACCATAAATATTTTAACTTTTCCACTGCAGTGGCGATTCTTCTGTGATCTTGTGCAATGTTTATATACCGTTACTGTAACATCAAATCACATATACCGTGATGGATGGTTTTGGCCCTGTTGCTTAGAGAGTTTAAACCACAAGTTGTTAGCTGTTCTCAGGATTTATGCTATAACTTTTCTATCTTGTCTTGGTATCTATGAGGACACCAAATAACTCCCCCAACCGAATACCGTTTTGCAAATAACACGAGCATAGAAATGTACATGGACTATTATTATTAACATATTTATTGCCTCAACCCAACATTTACTTTTGTCAGCCATGTTTATCAGATGGGGCGTTTGGGGGATGTTCTGAGTTGGGAACACATTTTTCTGAGTTCTTTCAACCACATAAATGCAACAAGATACAATCATGCATGATAGCCACATTTACAGAGTGACTCCACATTCAACTTTGACCTTCTGTACTCACCCTTACGTGTGAGCGCACACTTGGCTCCGTGTTTGGATCTCTCTTGCATTCAAGAAACTGATTGGATGTGTGACTCAAGATGATTATTATACAGCCTCCAGGGAGGCGTGTGGGCGCAGTGGATAGAGCCTTGGTGTTGGGATCCGGGGGTCACAGGTTCAAACCCCACTGTAGTCAGCATGTCGTTGTGTCCCTGGGCAAGACACTTCACTCCAAATTGCTCCTGTGGGGATTGTCCACAGTATTGAGTATGTAAGTCGCTTTGGATAAAAGCGTCTAACAAGGGACATGTAATACACGATTAGCATAAATTGGGGTTAACTATTCCTGTTTAATGAGGTAATATATCCAGCTAGGACTGTCACTTCAAAACATTTTCAAAAAAATGGGTTGTATTCAAAAACTTTGATGTCCCAAATTGTAAACAATTACTTCAAAAATAAACAGGAAACTAGAAAATTACACGGCGTGTGTGTGTGTTCACATCCAGCAGTTAAACTCATGTTGAAATATCACCACCTGTGCTGCAATATTTGCGGCAGATTTGTTTTCATTGTCATCAGTGTGTGTGTGTTTAATGGCGTTCCTGCTGCCATGTAGCTGAATCCAAGCATTTCTGTCTGTTGATTGCTTTGCCTGTCACATGTGCTTGTGTTTGCACATTAATTCAATTGATCCTTTACGGTATCTCTCTTGGTGTGTGAGCATGTTGCAGACTGTGTGTGTTTGTGTGTGCGGGTGTCTAAGTGTCAAAAGGTTCAGTGATGATATGAAGTGCACATCGGGGCCAGTTCTGGACTGATAGGGCGGCTCTTTTCCCCGGGGGATGCAGGCTGAATTGCTCCGACACCCCTTCCCCTCCCTTCTCTGTAAACAAAGGATTGATTTGAGGAAAGATCTTAAAAACCCTTCTCAGCAGGCGATTGGATCTTGTGTGTGTGGGTGCGTGTGTGTGAAGGGCAATATTGGCAGTGGTCTGGAGCTATAGTAACCCGGCAACAGCCATAGGCTGTCTGGCAGAGAGACCGTGTGTGTTTCTCTGCATCGTGGTCACAATTATCACACAAACACACACACATAGACGACTGCTCTTTTCTCGTTCAAAGCACAGTTACACACATTCTTTTCTCACTTACTGAACGGTTCTCACACTTAACGACAAGGCCTGTCTGAATACAGTCTCATATTGTGAAATGCACGCATCACATTGGTCTCTCCCTCAGTGCAACATCCTGAAATGTGCTGTTGCAGCCAATGTGTTTTTGACACGCACAAGAAGCATGTTCTCCCTGCCTGAAACCCCCCACCCCCCACGCTTACACCCACGCATCATGCCAGTAGTGAAAGAAAGGCAAAGAGAAATGAGTCACTGTGCCTTCTGTTAAAGACCCATTATGGTTTATAACATCTTCCTTCTAATTTTTATAGTTCGGGATATTGTTTCTTTAGGTCATGGTAATGTTGTTCTCATCAAGTTCATTGCTAAGATCTGGGATGAGGCAAGAAGGACGAGCGTTCCTTATTACCCAAAACATCTGTTGCCCTATCAATCAATACACTTCATTTGATTCAAAGATCCTAGCTATTATATAATCACTATAAAACTGTCAGTTGTCAACATCAGCCACAGTGTCCTCAGTGCTGCGTAAATATTCTTTAATCTGGATTAATCGTTTTCCTTTTATAATATTTTCCATTAATTTGATCAATATTTATCCTTTCCAATTTGAAATGTGTTGCAGCAATATGTTCGCACATCTGTTGCAATCACTTCAGGTGCATTGTTCTCACAACTGATAACAAATGATGGCCCAAAAACACAGACGACACAACCCAAATAAAAAAACAGGTAATTTAATGTAACACAGCAATGTGGATTATGTTGTCTCCATGCACGTACAAACAAACAGATGTTCACAAATGCTTTAAAGGTAAATCCACACACATCTCTGCCTGTTTGTTTCTTGTTAGAGTTTGCAAACACTACACATACTATAGTATCATAGTTGTGGTAATATGATGCCTGGAATACTTTGTAGTATCAATTGTACTTACGAGGTGTGTGTGTGTGTGTGTGTGTGTGTGTGTGTGTGGTGTGTGGTGTGTGTGTTGGTGTGTGTGTGTGTGTGTGTGGTGTGGTGTGTGTGTGTGTGTGTGTGTGGTGTGTGGGTGTGGTGTGTGTGTGTGTGTGTGTGTGTGTGTGTGTAGTGTGTGTGTGTGTGTGTGTGTGTGTGATGTGTGTGTGTGTTGTGGGTGTGTGTGTGTGTGTGTGTGTGTGTGTGTGTGTGTGTGTGTGTTGTGTGTGTGTGTGTGTGTGTGTGTGTGTGTGTGTGTTGTGTGTGGTGATGTGTGTGGTGGTGTGTGTGTGTGTGTCGGCCGGATTACGCCCTTTTCCTCTGTGGCTCGGGGAGGGCACATTGGCTGGCGGTGAGGTCAGCGATTATGGCTGGGTCATGTTGCGTCACATCCATGCGCAAGTCACTCAAGCAGATTCTCACACACGGTCTGTCACTTCCACTGACATTCATACACGCGTGCATCGACTCAGACACATTGTTAAGAACACACTGCATTAAGCAACTGTTGCAAATTAAAGGCCATCGACTAAAAGTCATTTTTTTCTAATACCAATGCTTTTTCTCATTAATTTACCTTGATAGTATTTTTCCTGTAAAAGTCAGTTTTGTTGGTAAAATCTTAAAAAGTGTTAGAGATTACACTTAATGGGTTAATGATTGAGCATGACGTGAAAGAATGGGATCCAGAACTGTTCAGATTAAGCATAAGCAAACTGAAAAAAGCATAGAAATCAGCAGCCATCTCAAAATCATAAAAATACATCACAAGTTATTATTGCGCTTGATATGCAGAACTGAATGTAAAACACTTTTAAATTGAGTGTTGTATTTACTGATGGGGCAAATTGTTGATCTTAATCTTCCGATAACTGCTACTCATGCTGTATGTGTTAATGTTACTACAGTACAAAGGTATTGATACTGAAAGCTATAATACTTTATTTCACAAGTGACTTTGTTATCAGTTTACAGAAGTAGATAATGACTATTATGTTAGCCTGAAGCAGCAGTGACTGCCTGATAACATTTCTGTGAAAGAAGAAGTTAAGAAGGGAAGTGTGTTCATAAGTTATGTGAACTTGTGTTTTGCAGACTGAAGAGGGGGAGATAGAGTGATACAGTCCTTTTCTGTGGCTTTTGTGATGATCCATGACATCTGTTCATCTTGTGTAGACGGTTTGACGCAAAGATAAAGTACCAGAAAACAGTGGTTTGGTTTGAAGAATAAACTTAAAGAAAGATAATTCATAATCATGTTTGTTACAGTAGCTCATCTCATTGAATAAAAACCAAACCTTGCATATTGACACATTAGCTAGTCTGTAATTGCTTTTGCCCTCTCAGCTTTCTCAGTCTGCCACTTTCCAATTATGGAGCTCACTGTCATCACCACTTCTTCACATGTTGTGCTTTTACTGCATCCACTGAGGAAGAGGTTCTAATAATAGTTATTGTAAATAAAACAAAACATATCAGTGAGTTTTCAACATTGAAAAAAACACTCAATCACATATGGCTAACATTTAAAAGACATTCAGCAGTTTAAAAATGGGGATTACTTTATCATTCAGAAGTGAGAAAATGTTCTCGCTTTCTGTTCTGTTTTTAGACTACAAATCAATCAATCAATATTTATTTATATAGCCCAATATCACAAATGTTATATTTGTCTCAGTGGTCTTCACAGTTTGTACAGAATATCAGTATGACAATACGACACCCTCTGTCCTTAGACCCTCACATCGTACAAGGAAACACTTCCAGAGAAACCCCACAGTTTAAAGGGGAACATGGGAGAAACCTCAGGGAGAGCAACAGAGGAGGGACCCCTCTCCCAGGACGGACAGACGTGCAATAGATGCTGTGTGTAAATCGAAGAGATAATACATTTTACAGCATAGGTAGATCAAATGTTTGGAAATGCTTGTGTCTATAAGAAGAAGATGAATCCACGAGGATGTCAACAATCCTGTGGGAGCCATCAG